ACGCCATTCGAAGCTTTAATTATATATTTTAATAATAAACTTTACATTGTATTTATGTTTATTATTTATTAAAAACAATAATAAAATGTTTGTAAAATGTTATTTGTTTTATTATAATATAGGGCTATTATAATTGAAGACCTTAAAAATAAAACGCCATTGTTTGATCTTCGTTTTACGACTATTTTGTTTGTGTATTTTATTGTATTCACAAACCTACGTATTTTATTAGTTTTCAATTAAACACTAAATGTGAATTTGAAGTGTAATTGTTTAAAAATGAAGGTGTTTTAATTATAACACCTATATGTTGAATTTAGTATAATGTAATAAGTATTAATATTACTACCACTAAGTTGCTAAATGCATTGAAGTGTCAGACAATATTTTCTTATAATGTCTGTACAACGCTATTTTGCGCTTCCGTATTACGTCCAATCCGAACCCGTGAAAATATAATCCGTCATAGACGTACAAAATGTGTCTATCTAACTTTATTTAGTCACCATAATTCTTTCAAAGGAATCCATAAAAGCAGTTTCATACATTTGATTTTGGAACCACAAGACGACATAGCAAAGTCCAGTAAGTATAGTAAGTTTCTAACTATAAAATATATATGAAACCGACAGGCTTCTGGGGTACCACAATACTCCTTTTTTACCTGATGGTAAGCAGTCAGCGCCGCCCATGGATAATGACAACACCAGAGGCGTTAGGAATGCGTTGCCTTTTTAGGGCTTCATCAATATGGGAAGTGGGAAAGGATTGGGTTTTCGGTAACCTCACTCTCACGGCGAAACAACGCTGCGGTTGTTTCACGTCGGTTTTCTGAAAGACATTTAATTAATAATATATTTCTTCCTTTACATTGCATCCTATCCTTCAATCCTAGTGTGGTGCATTTTTATTTTTTCACCACACTAAGATTTTCTCCTGCGTCATGGGTGCAGTTACAAATATACAATATCACATACACATGACAACCAGACCCGGAACAACAATTTGTGGATCATACAAAGAGTTGTTCCGTGCGAACCCGCGACATGTTGCACGGCAGCCAGTTGCCCAACCACCGCACCAAGCGTACAATCTGACTGTAGAATAAAATTTATAACACAAGAAATCTACACTACAAAGATCACAAACGAAACTTGCCATTCGCGACCTCTGCCCAAACAAAAGCTAGATATATCTATTTGCATTATTAATATTTAAAAAAATAACTGCGTCTCAATTCATTTAGTCAGTGTGTCTTACCTTGGTATTTAAAAAAAAACTTACAAATAATATTTCCATTGCATTTAACTTACATTTAACCTTCACACGTTCCTGTCACATCATATTCCGGAAAGGGTTCTAGGAAATTAAACTTTATGTGTAAATATTTTGTTCTTGTTTTCTATTGGCAACGTTACCTTGCATAGTAAATAAGTTTCCACTGCTATTTTTATACTGGATGAACGAGCATACGGATCACGAATGTAGGCAATTGACGTTTTCGATAGGCAGCTGCAAAGCCAGAAGAGTTATGAGTGTTTTGCCCGCCTTCTTTTTCAGGATTGAGAAAGAGGGGAATGGGAGGAATAAGGCTTACCCTTAGCCACACTCACACGGAGAAATATAACGCTAATATTGTTTCACGCCAGTTTTCTGTGAGGCCGCTTTATCACTTAAAGCCGGCCCACTAAGCATAGCTCTTCCGGCTATGGAGCCGGTGTGACAAGTTCAGCACTGATCTAATTGCAGAGGTCAGGAAAATCAGTGTGTGAATTTTAATCGGAAGCTTAAGCCAAACCTTATCATTCTTCATCTTGGAACTGTTAAAACCATAGCATGTCAGGTTTAATCTTTACAAGAAGTAAATTCTAATCTGTAGATTTTTGAATTTCGAATACCTACGTTCGAATTTTAAATCATAAATATCTCATGATCATCGTCATAGTAAGTTTTGAGAACGCCCTGAAGAACATAAAAAAGTGAATCTTTAATCGGAACAACAACGTGCGAAATAAAAGAATACATAATATATTATGTATTCTTTTATTTTGAAAATTGAATAAGGAACTCAGCTTTTTCTTTTTATAAAAATATATGTGATTATTAAATTTTCTCCTTGTAGGTATTGAAAAACGTGTCTGTTAACGAAATTTTTTTACTAAGTATATTGATTATTTTTAAACTATTTATTTATTAGATTCACTTTTGTATTCCATTTTTGTTGTCGTGATGGCCCGGAGGTTAAAGCTCCCGCTTAGTGGGAACAGAAAAAAAGGAAAGATAAAATGGCTGTCACCCGGTATCAAGGACAGTAGCGACATGCGGCACAAAATGGAACTAACTATTATTGCGTTCCAATTCCTACAATATCTTTAAGTTCGAACAATTTACAAAGTTCGAACAATTTAGCCAGGGACCCTGGCTTTTCAATCTATTTATTAATGATATTGTCTCTTGCATTAAACATAGCCGCGCTTACCTCTTTGCTGACGATTTAAAACTATGTAAAACTGTAACAGGAGCTTTGGATTGCGAACTGCTTCAAAAAGACCTTGACTCAATTAGAAACTGGTGCGTTATCAACAAAATGTCCTTGAACGCCAATAAATGCTTCTCTGTCACTTTCACGCGTAACCATAAAATAATTGAGACTCAATATTATATCGATGGAGTACTACTTAAAGAAAAATCGGAATTAAGGGATTTAGGTGTTATTTTTGATTCAAAATTAACATTCTTACCACACTTAGATAACATAATTAAAAAGTCCTCCAAAATGTTAGGCTTTATCATTAGAAATGGTAAGTTATTCCGCAGGCCAGCTACAAAAATAGCGATCTACAATGCTTACGTGCGCAGTAATTTGGAGTATTGTAGCGTGGTCTGGTCACCACAATATAACGTACATCAGCTTAGAATAGAACGCATTCAGAAACGATTCTTGAGGCACCTTGCTTATTCATGTAGACTGCACAAACAACTTCGTTCGTATAATGACAAACTAAAACATTTCGCCATGATTAGTTTATTTACTCGCAGACGATTACAGGACATGACATTCCTTTATAAAATACTAAGAAATGAACTTGATAGTCCATCGCTACTAAGTTCTTTCGGTTTTCGTGTTCCACGCCGCTTACCTAGGCGCGCTCAGCTTGGCATGGGATTGTTGCACCAGCCACCAGCTAGAACAAATCTTAAACAATTCTCTGCCGTGTCTCGACTTGCAAAAACATACAACAGTCTCAGTGATGAAGTGGATATCTTCAGTGATACATTACCGGTATTTAAAAAAAATGTGTTGGGGATTTTTGGGAGGACTGAATTCCAATAAACTTTGTTTAAATAAAAAAAAATGTTTTTGTTTTATAAATAAGTACTTATTTTATTTTAATTTAATTTAGAATCGTAATTTTTGCAATTTCTATCTTATTACTCTTCCTACTATTTTAAATTATATTCTTCTTTATTAATTATTTTTTGTGTCACTACGAAATATTTTGTGCATTTTGTGACACCTTAAAATGCTGTACATTTAATTTTATTATAGTGTATTTAATGTTTAGATGTAAGAAATAATGTAGCAGCTACTGGTTGTCCATAATTCAATAAATAAATAAATAAACAATAGGAAAAAAAGTTGAGAAGTAGAAAGCCAAAATATATTTTCAAATTATTTGTATGTACTGTATTGAAGTTTCAATGTTTTAATATTTTCTTTTATTGAAACATAAACATAATTTTTGTTATACGTGTTAGCTTTATTACTATCGCAACTTGAAATTTTGTAGGTATTTGTTACACATTCATACAATTCTTGAAATACTTTGGTATCTACTTGAGACCTTAGAAGGTACATCAAACACAATGCAGGCTTTACATTTTCCATATATACACGAGCCTGGCAATAAATGTTTCACCTACTAAACTTTTCCTATCTAAAGAATAAAATGTGTAACTTAACTTTTTGTTTTTCTGTTAAAAAGCATAGCCCTACACGAGATTTCGGTGGGTGCATTTAAAAACATACATATCAACAATTAGACCCTGAACGACAATTTGTAGATCACATAAAAAGTTGTAAGGTAGCCAGTTGCCCAGCCACTGCCAACTGTGCAGTCGGTTGTTGTATTTGCTATTGTTAATCGAATATTATTTTAAAAACTTTCAGTAATACCTGGTAATATTAATCGTTTCTTTGTTTCATGTAAATGTTCTTGATAAATCTTGAAGCTTGACTGTGAGTCTACCTAATATCCGTCTGTCATCCGTCTAACATCAGAATACTCTGATTGTAGATTGACGCCAGGTAAATATTTTGTAAAAAATATCTAACTGTATAAGCTCAAACATTTCCTGCACGGCGTCAACCGTGCAGTACTCTGTTACAAGAGAAAATCGTTAAGTGGAGCAACGATTGAGAAAAACAGTTAGAAAATCTTCGTGCGTAAAGCACTCTGGAAGGAAAAGAACTAATTAAAATTATGTAATTATCTTAAAGAATAATAATTAATACTTTGAAAATTTTGTATATTAACAAACATATTCCAATTGCTAAACTCATTTAATGGCTACTTACTTAAAAAAAAAACAAAAGAAATTTGAAATTCTTTTAGTTTTGCATTAACCAATAAATTTGTATAGACAATTATTATAATCGTGATTTAGATATAAGGGCTGAATTACCATCAATAGAACAAAAATTGAAAAAGATATATCGACATTGATCTACCCATTCCTGTAGGGAAAACCACAGATGTATAAACTGGAGGATGGGTAGGTGTTAAATGAGTAAACACGTCACATTTATTTATTACTCAAAAATAATTAAATTAAATTTATAAAATTAGTTAATTGCCTAAATTTGGATTAGTAAAGTGTATTAATTGAATAGAATAAGTGCTACAACTTGCCAGGTCCATGTAAATTAATTTAACTTGGCCACCACCTGCCAGCACATCAACTTTAATTTTAACACAAGCACGGAGCAGAGAGAAACAATGTCACAGATCACAGATATTATCACTGTCCATAAGAACGTGCAGGAAAGCTTGCTGAAGAAGATGGGTGACATAGAGGCTCAAATCCAGTCAGCTGGATCATCGAAGGACACCGTGGCCAGGATAGCTGAGGAGTTCCGCACCTTCCGGGAGCTGGTCTTCGATATGTTAAAGCTGCTGCGGAGCCAGGTCACAGAGTGCTGCAGAAATATAGATGGCCTTGAAATGCGAAACCGTCGCAAGGCTGTTGTATTTCAAGGCATCCCAGAGGAGGACAAGGAAGACTGCAGCCAGGTGATGTTGCAGATCATTAATGGCAAATTGGGCCAGGATTTCCCGGTGTCTGCACTTAAGGTGTGTCACCGACTTGGAGTGCATAACAAAAGTCATCATAGGCCGATCCTAGTGCGGTTCTCTAGTGTGGACTACAAGGCTTCGGTCTGGAGGGCAAAGACTCGACTGCAGGGCACCAAAATCACGGTCAAGGAATTCCTGACTAGGCCCAGACAGGAGGTATTTGTTAGAGCTCGTCAGCATTTCGGCATGCGTGCTTGCTGGACTCAGGACGGCAACATCTTCCTCAAGGCGTCTGACGGAAGCAAGCACAGAGTCGTTTGCATGGAAGAACTTAGTCCTCTACTTGACAAATATCCCAGTCTGCAGAGTGTGTCGCAGAAGGCAGCCGGGGGCGGAGCAGGGGCACACACGGTGAGCCTGAAATCAACACGCAAGTAATTAGTTCAACTTAGCTAGAACAATTAACTATACTGTGCGAGAGGTTGTTTTTTTTTTTTTCAATAACTTTAAACTTACCGTTTGTGTTTTTATGTTATTCCTGTTCCCGTTTTGCCATTAGCAAATTTCCTGTGAACTGCATGAGGAACTGCAATATCTTTACTTGGACTTTTCTACCCACAATTCTCGTTGCAGTACTTTTCCTTTGTTCTCTTTTAATATCATACGAAGTTACCCCACAAAGTGTTATTGTTAAAATATTATTGTCGTTAAAACTTATTTATTGTCATGAAGGTACAGCCGTCACTTGTCATTGTCATCGTGACATTTCCAACCTATAATTTGACACATTGTATAAAAGCGAGTTGCGTTCGGATATCGCACAGAATCTAAATGTCACTTTTTATATGTTCTTTTTTTTCCACGTGGTTTTTTTTTAATGTGTTCATAAATCGTTTTTATTAATGTACTTTTAAATTTTTTTTTTTATCAATTTTTATTTTGATTTTTGTATTTTTCTGTCTGTGTTTTCTGTTTGTTTGTGTATTTGTTGTTAGCTGGCGGGTGGTGCAGAGTTGCATATCTTTAGTAGCAAGCATATTATAACTTTATTTGATTAATTTGTGTGTTGTCTAATTATACATCATATATTTTATTATATATTTAATATAATTTATTTATTATATAATTTATATATTTATTCATGTCTGAAAATGATTCTTTTGTCTCTGCAAGTGAAGATAGTTCGTCTGGTAGCGACAGCTTCTGCTCATTGACTGAGTGTCTGGGTGATTTATTGAAGAAACAATTCGAGGATAGTAATTCTCGATTGTTGAATGTTTGTCACATCAATGCTCAGAGTCTACCCAGCCATTACAGTGAGCTGTATGAAACATTTAATAACAGCAACGTGCATGCCGTCCTGATATCCGAAACTTGGCTCAAGCCTCATTTACTGTCGGTCACCTACCCCTTAACCGGTTACATTCTGATACGGAATGACCGTACGGACGGTAGGGGAGGTGGCGTGGCTATATATCTCCGCAGTGATTTTTCTTACAAGGTTATCTCCATGTCTTCCCCTAACGGTGCTGCGGAATATATAATTCTTGAGGTTTGTGTCCGAGGGGCGAAGCTCATTCTAGGTGTGGTTTATTGTCCTCCCTCTGTCGATTACTTCACTGAATTCGAAACAGTACTTGAATCCGTGGGTTCGGAGTATGCGCATCACATAATCATGGGTGATTTTAACACTAATCTCCTTGCCAACAACTCCTCTCGTTCCCGCAAACTCCGACATTTGATCGAGTCAGCAAGTCTTCATCTGCTACCTCTTCAACCTACTCACCACAACGTCGCTGGTGATGACTCTTGGCTCGATTTAATTGTCATATCCAATCCCTCTCTGGTTTCGTCTCATGGCCAATATGAGGCTCCAGGATTTTCCCATCACGACCTGATTTTCCTTTCCTACATCCTCAAACCACCCAGGGTTAATCCCAGGGTTCGATACAGGCGTTGTTTTGCGCGGATGGACGTCGACAGCCTAGTTCAAGATGTGTCGGCCACTGATTGGAGCCCACTGAATGGTTGAATTATTCAATAATACCTTGACGAATTTATATAACCGACATGCTCCCATCAAAAAGGTTAAACTGAAGCGACCGCCTGCGCCTTGGATGACTCGTGGGATACAGATGGCGATGCGACGCAGGGATCGTGCGTTTCGTAGGCACAAGAGGGATCGCACCGAGGAAAATTGGACGGCTTTTAAGATTGCGAGGAACAGGTGTAATCAGATGGTACGTAACGCAAAACGCCGCTTTATCCTTGATGGAATCTCTTCATCTTCTTCTTCTGCAGATACCTGGAAGTTTCTCGGAACTCTAGGTATCGGCAAAGCGCAAAATTTGGACCTTCCGAGCTCGATTGGTTTGGACGATCTCAATCGCCATTTCGCAACTGTTTCTCAGCTGGATCCACGAATCAAACAACAGACGCTTTCTTTAATAGCTGGTCTTAAGCGTTCTACTTCTATAGTTCCTTTTTGTTTCGTTCCAGTGCAGCCTGATGAAATCCGAAAAGTTATCCTTGCCATTAAATCCAAAGCCATGGGTTGTGATGATATATCACGCTATATGATCACAGCCATCCTGGACCCCCTCCTTCCCACCATAACTCATATGGTAAACTATTCCCTTCACTCCGGAGTCTTTCCATCCTTGTGGCGCAAAGCCTTTGTCCGTCCTCTTCCGAAAATCTCCAATCCCACCCTTCCTACTCACTTCCGCCCCATCTCAATTCTTCCTTTCTTGTCTAAGGTGCTCGAGGCCTGTGTCCACAAGCAATTCGCTTCCTTTATCCACCGGAACTCCTTAATTAGCTCAGTTCAATCGGGTTTCAGGCCTGGACACAGCACCACAACCGCTCTCCTTAAGGTCACCAGCGATGTGAGGGCAGGGATGGAGGACACTATGGTTACTGTGTTGGTCCTGGTGGATTTCTCGAATGCCTTTAACATGGTCGACCACGATATCCTGCTAGCTATCCTTTCCCGTATTTTGGTTTCTGATGGCGCACTGGAATGGTTCTCATCCTATCTCCGGGGACGTCAGCAGTTGGTCCAGGTTGACGAGTCGTCGTCTAACTGGTGCCAATTAACGGCTGGCGTTCCTCAAGGCGGAATTCTTTCTCCTCTTTTATTCTCTACTTTTATTAACTGTGTTACCTCCGAACTTCAGTGTGCGTACCATCTATATGCTGACGACTTGCAGTTGTATTGTCAAGCGAGGGTCGAGGATTTGCCTGATGCGATCTCGAGATTGAATGCGGACCTGGCTGCCTTGAATAACTGGTCAACAAAGTTTGGGATTGCCGTTAATCCGAGTAAGTGTCAGGCGATAATTTTGGGGAGCTCCCGTACCTTCGGAAGGGTTGACAGCAATGCTGTGCCACCTATCCTTTTTAACGGTGCGATCATCTCGTTGAGTAGTGATGTGAAGAATCTCGGCCTATACATCGATAATTGTCTTACCTGGCGGGCTCACGTCGCTGTTGTCTGTAAACGGGTAACGGGAACGCTTCGGGCACTATATCGTTTGAAAAATTTCCTTCCGTCCTCCACCAAGGCAATGCTTGTTCGATCCTTGTTGTTCCCTATCATTGATTATGCGGATGTCTGCTATTACGACCTGAATGCAGATCTACTTAACAAACTGGACCGCCTTCTGAATAACTGCATTCGATTCGTCTTCAACCTGCGCAAATACGACCATGTCTCTGCCTATCGATTGCAACTAAAGTGGTTGCCCATACGTCAGCGCAGGGAACAACGCGCGCTAACCACTTTATTCTCACTTCTCTGTTCCCCTACTTCTCCTAGTTATTTGGCCCCCTATTTTCAGTATGTAAGCGCCAACCATAGCAAATATCTTCGGTCCACAAATAATCGTCTCCTCCACTGTCCCTCGCACCGGACTGACTTTGTACATTATTCTTTTCCTGTCCAATCAATTTTGCTGTGGAATGCGTTGCCCACGGATATCAGGACGGCAACCAGTCGGCTATCTTTCAAATTTAAAGTTCGGAATTACTTGCTAAAGAAACTGACAGATTCCACTAATTAGTGTATTGTTGTTTTTGTTCTTGTATATATTCGTAATCTATTCTTCCCATATTTAATTATATTATTTATGTATTATTTATATGTTATATGTGTATTTGTAGATTAGATTTATTTTATTCATATATTATGTTTTGTATTATATGTAAATGTTGCCTTACATGCCTGTACTTTTTAATCATTGTGTGCTTGTTTAAAACCTATTATTAACACTTCTCTGCATCACCCTTGAGGTTGACTGGTAGAGAATGCCTTCGGGCATTAAGTCCGCCTTTGTATATATGATTTTGTATGTGCATAAAGTGTTAAATAAATAAAATAAACTACAGAAACCACTTAATACTTGTAATACTAAGTCACTACAACGCTGAGTCTCAGTCTTTATCTATTATAAATTTGTATGTTTATTGTATATGTATTGTTGCAGAAATTATTTATGTAGTATATATTACGTATATTAACATATTTAGGTAGTATTTAGTAGTAAATATTTTGAGTATCTATATTTGTAAAGTCTATGTATTTTATTTATTCCTTATAAAAAGTACACATGCCTATATTTTCGTCGATTTCCTATTTAACCCTAAGGTTGACTGGGAGAGAATGCCATATGGCATTGATGTCCGCCTTATGTACCATCACTTGTTTTGTGTACATTAAAGTTTAAATAAATAAATAAATAAATAAATACTTGTCAAGCCTCATATCGATCAAATATACACGATACGGTTTTCACGTAGAAGACTTCTGACATCTGAGCAATTTATCTTACTGTTGGTAAAAGTATTTGAACATTTTAAAACGAAGCAAATATCGTCTCGTCCGAAGAAAATCTGCCTTGCTCAGGCAGTTTTGTAGCTGTTAAAAGCCCGAACTGAATATAAAATGGGTCTTTAAACTAAAACGCCACCACGTTCTCTCGGCCAAGTATATCTTTAAAACTATTTACTCGTTTCTTTATTTGTTTATAGAATTAATGAGCGTTGATCTACGTTAATGTCATCATCACATAGATAGGTGGCAGTCAACAACTGTGCGATTCACGCGAATCTTTCTGCCCCGCACAGCAAAACTTTGGAGTGATCTTTCAGCTACGGTATTCACGAACCGATACGACCTTCAAACCATCAAGAAACGAGCGTACTCCTTCTTAAAAGGCCGGCAATGCACCTGTGACTCCTCTCGTGCTACGGGTGTCCATAGGCGGTGCTTACCATCAGGGGATCCGTTTGCTCGATTGTCTCTTATTCTATTAAAATATACTTTTTAAGGAAATGCAAAGCATTTTCTTACTGCTAAGTTGGTCGCAATTGTAACAGACAAAGTCCTGAAATTTGTTCCGTGAAATTCTCTAAAGTTAAAGAAGTCGAGCGATGTTTGAGAATAGTTTGATATCTGAATCGAGTATACTATTATATTCAATCTGACTTGTTCTTCTTGAAATTCCTCATAGTCTGGAATCGAAGATGTTATATGTAATATACCTATACAAATCACTAAATAAATCTTATTTTAGCGTGCCGCTTCGACTGTGTGAAGTTACAAATTTTCTTAATAGTGGGTATTTTATGACCATCGGAATAGTATATGTATATGAGTATATGTTCCTGAAAAGTTAGTGTAATTAGTTAAAAAAAGTACTTTTGTTGTTGGACTAATAGTAGAGTTGATTTGAATCATCATCATCATCATCATCATCAGCCTGATGTTATACACTGCTGGACATAGGCCTCCCCAATTGCACGCTACTGAGCTCGATGTTCAGCTCTTCTCATCCAACCACTGCCAGCCACTCTGCGGATGTCGTCACTACACTACGTTTTTCTAGACGTGGTTCATTTAAATAAAAGTCTTGATATGTATATAGCAAATTATTTTACAGAAAAAAAAACAGATACGGGTTACGATGTCACTGTTTCATCTCTAACCTTTTGAGTTGACTCCAATGCAGTTCGAATTTTAAATGAAGATCGATTCAAATATTGACAAATCAAATTTTTTACAGTCCAATTTGGAGTTCGTTTTCAATTTAAATACTTCGTTTGAAGATGTATTCTTGTTAATAGATGTTTTTATTTTTTTGTGCAAATTCAAGTTTGGAATGCAGATATTTCATAAGAACATAATAAGGTTTCTCATAAATTTTGTCTCATCTCACAATTTTACTAATACGATCAGAACGAAATATCGAAAAGCGATTTTGCCACGTCAGTGGCAATCAAAAGCAGGTTCAGATTATAAGATTTCCGATTCCAAATTGTTCGGGACCTAGTAAAATTTTATATTTTTCTCTATTACATTTTAAAGTTGTAAAAATATGTTCCCGAGTTCGTAAAACAGTTTATTGAACAGTAATTGTTCTTAAGACCACACCGCAACAGAATAAAAAATTGAAAATTAGCTTATAATCGAACGTCGTCGTCATCAGGAAAAAATGTTGTATCTAATGAGTCCAAACTCGATATGTGTACCAGTCAAGAGTCCAAGGTTTAAGAAGTTAAATTTAAATAAAATCTATTTTATTTAGATTAGGAATAGTCATCAAATGACTTGTATTGCTCTGGGTGAGGCGAGAGGGAGTGTCAGATTCTTACTGACTATCGACATAAAAACAACCCCGTTCTTTCTCATATGCAAGGCAAATTATTGCACTTGAAGGTACTACCTATATAATATCGCATTGACATCTAATGTACACAGAATCACCAATTTTCATTATTACACAATTAAAAGTGTGTGTAAGTAATCCAGATTTTTCGCTTTTAATCACGCTTTTCTTTTTTATGGATTGATTCAATGAAAACGTGTAAAATAATCTCTGAAGAAAAGAGTCTTCTCAATTGATAATAATATACAGAGTGTCATTTCGAACGAGGGACACATTCAAGGACCCGATTCTGATGCCCAAATATAAAAACTTTTTTCATAACAACAATGTGGAAATTTAAAAAAGTTTTTACTTCTCCATCCAAAATGATCAGTCAGCGGTTGCGATTTGTATGGGGAAATAAATTTATTTTTGATATTTGGATATTGGTCCCATGTAAAAAAAAATGTTGTAATTGAGCACCAGAATCCAGACTTGACCTTGCTTAAAATGACACCATGTATAGCTTATTTTCACTATATATGATAGTGTGTGTTTTTTTATATTTGTTTAAGTATACTTGAAAAGTACGATTCAAATACATATATGCAAGTTGAAGATGAAAAGGGAAAAAGGCTTAATATTTGTACAGCGGCCGGAGTCACGGGTCTATCCTAAATAAATATTTGGTTTCACCGTATTTAACCTATCATGTCAATAGGATACACCTCTTATAAAGTTTTCCATAAAATGTTTTATTTAATACTTACTTATTTGAAAGCAAAAATAATTTTCAATATTCAACCACACAATCACTCAAATGCACTCATCAATTCCGATATCATTGAATATTTTCCTGTCAATGTATTATCTGCCTGAGCCCGTAGCATTTACTGCCCGATAAACACTAACAGAGCCGCGTTTTACATTCGCCAGGATTTTTTATTGATAGCACAATTTCATTTATTTGATTTATAGTAAAATGTTATTGGGAATACTAGAGAGTACTTGCTATATTGTAGGGAAATAGCTATGAATTCGTGTTTAAATTTATGTGGCTTTTTTGAATGACAATCGTTGTACTTGTAAGCTAATTGTTTTATCATTTAATCCTGGTAATTAAAAAAACAATAGAATAACAATAAGTGCGCGAACTCCGACGTTCGTTTGGGGTTTGATTGGGCCTATGGTATCCTCACTCACATGGCGAAGGACAACGTAAGTATTGCTTTTCTGTGAGTCCGTGGTATCACTTCGGTCGAGCCGACCCATTCGTGCCGAAGCTTGGTTCTCCCACACTTAAAACTTGTTTACATATACATAGATGGCGTGAAACAACCACAATATTTCGCAGAGTGAATGAGGCCCAATCCTTCCCCTCCACCAATCCCTAAATCTCGAAAATCCTAATTCCCAAATGGTCAGCAACATACTCGTAACGACTTCGTTGTTGTGGGTGTCCATGGGCGGCACTGATTGCTTACTATCAGGTAATACGTCTGCTCTACAACACAAATTAAACGGGTATTAACGCGAAAATAATATTCTAAATACCTTGGTAGGCTAGTTGTCAGTCTGCTTGTGACCACAACCTGTGCAACCAGGTCGAAACGTCAAGCCTACCAAGGTATTTAGATAATTATTTTCGCGTTAACACCCCCGTAATTTATGTTGTAAATCCGTCTGCTCGTTTGCTGAAGTATTACAAAAAGAAACACAATTCGAGCATCGCATATGTTACACTTATTATTTGTTTATTATATAAATACTCAAATAAGTAAAACGAGTAGTAACGTAACGAAAAGTAAACGAGTAGAAAAAAAGTACTTACATGATTGGTTAGGTACTAAACACATACACAATGTGATACTAGACATCAACACTAAACAATACACGCTTGTATCTTGTTCCAAATCAATATCCTTCAAAGCTGAGCTACATAGCTGTTAATCTTACATGAAGGATTTCTGATAGACAAACTTCATTAATGTAATGCCTATTCTACCTACATATATACAAGACGGTAAAACTATGATCGAGAAAGATATACAGGGTGTAAAAAAATACTTAACGAAGCCGTTAACTGCGCATATTGCAGTTCTTACTAAGTAGCTTTACGCTAAAATTATCACTGGGAAACGACTTTTATTTTTATTAGGTATCAAAAAAATAATAATTTTATTGCGCGCAATGTAAAGCAAACGGGCTTCGTGTCATTGTGTGCGAAGGTTCACAGCTTAGCATTAAAACGCTGTGATAAGTACGTAGGTCGACGTTTTACTTTGCAAGAACAAAACAATTCTGTAAAATAAAAATCCTACTGAGATACACGATGTTTTTTGTGCGGGTCTGCATTTATTTATTACGTACATTACTCTTCGTAACTTCAAATGCGTAATTTATTTAGAAAAATCAAAAATTCGGATGATGTTTGTTTGGAAAAAAGTTTTGTAATAATACTTAGAAATCGATTGCGCAAAAAATTAATAATTTGAAAATGTATCTTTGACCTTCAATATCTCGAGAACGCGTAGAGTCCCAGCTATGGTCTTAAAGAAAAAAATGATCCAAATAATGGTAGAATACGTGGCTTTCGGCTTCATTAAGTGTCTTTTTACACCCTGTATAAGGAGAGATGTAGGAATATATACAGTTGGTAAAGATAGTTGTAAAGTATAATAATTGATTAGGGTTAACTGCACGGTTGGCGCAGTGGCTGGACAACTGGCTGCCGCGCTACGTGTCGCGGGTTCGATTTCCGCACGGAACAATTCTTTGTATGATCCAGAAATTGTTGTTCCGGGTGTTCACAAATTGTGTGTGTATGTGAAATTGTATTTGTAAACGCACCCACGACACAGGAGAAAATCCATATCCTCATAGTGTGGGGCAATTTTTTTATTTAAAAAAAAAATATTTGTAATTGTTTTTCATCATAATAAGACAGAAAAAGATTTAATAATTAACCTTGTCTTCACCAGTTATGGCTAAAATTATCATAAGGCGCTTCAGCGCCGTAACACTCGCTGATCGGTATTTGTTTTTTTTCTTATGATATAGGTCGGTAAACGAACGGGCTGATGTTAAGCAATCGGTGTCATCATTGAATATTTGTAGTAAAACCTACCAACCAAAGTATTTACTACAAGTGCGTTGCCGGCCCTTCGTGTTATAAGGGATTTAGGATAGGGGATTGAGGACTCAGTATCGGGGGGACTGATATGGTGAAAAAGAACTAGAAGTTCCTTAGATTAAAAAACAAGGAAATTGATAACATATATTAAGCTTTATAATATATTATAAGTATTCATTTATATAAATGTCCAATTATAATATTTTTTCCAACCAGAAAACTGATGTCAAGGTATATTTTCTATTCCAATAATGAGGCTGTCAAAATTTACTCATAAAAGTAAAATTTAAGTATACGTAATAAGTAAAATGGAAAACTCATTATAAGGAAGTTAACGTAATTTATAAATTTATTCGATAATTCGACCGAATAAATATTTATTTTGACATAGAAATTACGTAATTTGCTGTCTTCCTTAAATATTTGGGCAAACCAATTTTTGATTACAATTTGATGGGGTCGGTATTAATATTAAATATATTGTTATTGCCAGAAGTGTAGATATGCTTATGTAGGGTGTTGTGTAAAAACGGGCCAAGTTTGACAATAGATTTGCCTTTCATTAAATACATAGATTACGTTATTAATGAGAGGTGGTAATTTTAATGTCAAAGCCAAAACATTTATTTCAATGAGACCACGAACAATTACTTTTAAACAGTCAAAAATATAATTTCTGTCATTATATTTATTTATCAAATATAATCATGTACTACACTGCACTGCAACTGCACCACCTAGTGCGACAATGTTATCATATATAAAGATTTTAGTTAAAATTAAGTTGTTATAACAAAATTAAAAACATTCAATACTCTTGAAAAATAAATAAACAATTTATAAATTATAAAGAAAGATACTTATAACAAATATGACAATCGTTTCCGTATCATCCCTGTATTTTACCAACGAATTCTGTTAATGAGCAACTAAAAATGTCGACGGTTTTCGTAATCCTGTTAAATAATTTGATGGCCCTAGGATTTTCAGCATATTGGACAAGTTAGTGCTATACTGTTTAGGACAAGAATCGTCCAAGAAGCTTCTTGACTCTTTATATATTTTCAAGAGTTGCCTATTCGTTGTGTGCGCGATGACAGCGCCCCTAGTGGTCGCAACTGTTCAGGACTTATCATCTGTCAAATCATGTCAACTAGATGATAAGATATTGATTTTCGACTAGTTTTTCAACGAAATTGAAAAAAATGGTGTAAGAAGTGTGTATATTCTACGATTTTCTTCCTCGTGAAAAATATGGATATCATAATAAGTACGGGATTCGAATTTGAATTTTCTTCACAGCAGCTATCCATTTTTGTCCTGTAACGTATGCACTTTGATGTTGGAAACGAATAAAACTTGCACGAACTATTTTCCCCATTGTTTTTACAATTTACGACACAGCATGTACTATGACCCATATCGCATTTTTTGCGTTTTTACTTAAAATTATAAAGGAAGTTATGAAAATAAAGCAATTTGACACATGACAGTCCAGAATTAATTCACATTTCTGCCAACTCGTGCGCTACGATCGATTTGCCGTTCCCCACCACCCACTTCGCACATAGCGAATAAATGTAAACAATAATTTACAATCAAAATATAGCTGCACTATACACAACACAACACGAACTCCTTCGGAAATGGTACGCTCCAATTTCAAAAACCAATATTACCCAAACGTCAGTAGTGCGGAAATAACTTACCACACAACACTGATCCTTAGGTAGGCCGCGTCAGAAGTTATGGAACGTCATTACAAATCTACTTTCAGTATCGTGACAGAGTTTCAAATTGTGTGGTCACTTTCTGTATTGATTCCTTTTGATATACTGTATTCGGGAGACCGTGTCTTTGTCAATACAATGGTACATATGGACATTGTTGCATAGCGTTTGCTTGTCAAAGTGACTCAGTGGGATGTGGGTCAACTTTTGTTAGACTGTTAGGAGTTTATTTTATTTAGATATTGTTTTTAAGACAGGCTGTTGTTTGTAGAGGATGAGGAGGTTTGAAGATCGAAGAGTATTGTTACTTCACATGCATGACTTTTATACCAAGTAATATGTTACAATAATTTTGACACCGCTGAAAGAAAATATCGTGATAATCCTAGAATTAAAAACGACTTTTTTATAAATTTAAAATTGCGAATTCGACTAAAGTTAGCATGGTGAATAATATTAAATCGTGGACCCTTAATTAAAAGCTTTTTTCAAAGGGAGATTATCATCGAATAACTTTATTGCCCTTGGTGGGGCAGGATTGAGTGTCTGACTCTCACTGATTAACCATTCCGTTTTTACTCTTGCTCTGAGTATGGGCTACGGTCTATTATTGCGATGGAATCCACAACTCTGGCTGAATAAATTCTTATAAGCTTATAATTTAAGCGTGTTTTGCCACTAATTTATAACAAATAAACAGTGACTACAATAAAAGGATTCTTAAAATATAAAACTACTAACTAAAGGATCCTATTAACAATATATATTTCGGAATCTTAAGTCTTATTTAAAATTGTTTAACTGCGAACTATATTTAATAAAAGTATTAAAAGATTTTCATTCGGAAATTAATTTTATGAAACTCAAAAACAGACGCAACAGATTTTAAATGAGCATAATTTTATTCCTTTTTAACTTGAAGCAGTGGAAGGTCTCTTGAGAAATGTCATCTTGAGGTCTTCAATTATTTTACAACTTTGTCGTCAACTTTATGCGCTTAAGTGCATCCGACGTGTTAATTAAGTTTAACAACAGAAAATTTTGCTGAATTTATAAAAATTGCTCTTCAAATTGCTGGTATTTTCGGTAACTTCACTGCACATTTTTGGTATAAGGCATTATTATTTTGATCAAAAAGGTGATCTTAAGGTCATAATCATGATTAACGAGTATCTGGCCTTTTTAACTTTTTGCTCTGGTCATTGGAAGAATTATTAAAGACAGATATCTCGGATTATACCACTGTTTGCTTTATTTAGGACTCATCATTTGAAATTACTTTTTAAGAAAATTAGTATCAAATTTTTTAACCGTTTTCTTCAGTGGTGTAGTATATATTTTTTTGTTTATTGAATAACAAAAGTAGATGTGTGACAATAAAAATACAGTTTGAAAAAGCTTATCTCCAGAATTAATGGCACAAATGCAATAATTAATTGTCTTAATTTCTTTACGTTAACAAACTCTTGTGGCTGTCACAATACAAAAAATAAAAGCTAAGAGAACCTAGTGTCCAAAGAACTTACAATGAAATACTTATTCCTTAACACCTTCACAGGTTGTGTATACATGGAACATGGACTTCAACCGCAGCTTACTTGGCGCGGCCACCATCCTGGTCCCGAAGACCACGGCCACACCATCGTCCACCACCATGCCAACGTGGGCACACAACTCCTGGGTGTGTCTCTTTACTGCCATGTTAGCTGTTGCCATTGGAGGGAATGTCATCGTCATCTGGATTGTGACAGGTTGGATATTCCGATTTCTAAAGGTGTTTGTCCAAAGTAAAAGTACATATATTTTTTCTTGTGATATGTCGGCAAACGATCTAGCGGATTACCTGATGGTAGGCAATCAGCGCCGCCCATGGACACCGCAACGACGGAGGTACTCCTCCATCGTGTCGAGTTCGTTGCCGACCTTTTGTGGATTAGAGATTTGGAGATTTTGGAAATTAGGAGGGATTGGGGAAGGAGAAGAATTGGGCCTATAACCGCACTCACATGGCGAAACACAACGCTTTGGTTGTTTCACGCCAATTTTCTTTGGGGCCGTGGTATCGCTCTGGTCGAGCTGACCTATTCGTGCCGAAGCATGGCTCTTCCACACTTAAGTCAGTGTAGAAATTTGTGCGGTTCACTAACTAACGGCTTAATAGGCAGAACTACGAGATGTGAAGTTAAAAAAAATGCCTAAATCCATTACGCGTAATTGACTATATTTTGTACACGTATTTGGATGTGAAATAAATAAATCGAGTCATATTCGATATAATAATAATCGAGTTATATTAAATACATTAATAAAAATCATTGTTGCCATTACAAAATGTAATTGATCTGTCAGTTTCACCTGCAAATAATTAATAACAAAAGTAAATTATTACTTGCACAACGGCAAAAATATTCGTAATACATATAATAAACAACAACTTAGTCTATAAGAAAAAATAAATAAATCACATGTAGCTGATTCTAATTGGCAATCCGTTTTGAGCAAACTTTATTAAAAATAAAATAACTAAGACACATATGTAATTAATTTTTGATACAAAAAATGTTCGAAAATTAAAAAGTTCCTTCTCTTTAATGCTTACAACAATGAACAGTAACCAATAGTAGTGGATTACTGAGAAACTTAATTACTTTTAACGAATGTCAAAAAATAGTTTCCTTTTTCTTTTTCTGTGAATGATTAATTAAATGTCAAATGCACGCTGAGAACTTAAACGAGTGACACGAACTCGAATTATTCTTGACTTGCATGAAGTGTTGTGGCAAATCTTATTTTGATTCTATAAAAAAGTAATAGCACTAAACTAACTAAGCTGCACTAAACTGTTAAAAAATCAATTTACCAAATCAATATTACCTTTTCGATAAAAAAACGCCACACTACTAAAAATCATGTCGTTAAAAACTTTACCTCGATAAAGTGATTTTGTTGTAGCAATTCCGGTTTTATTTGTGCGCCTTTTAGAGTAAAAGTTGGTCCCCGCAATCGCGAAAACGTGGCTCTATTAAACCTAACACAAGCCACGTAAAACGGAGCGAAATCCGAATTTATTTACAAAAAATTCTCTTCATAAAGTTAAGAGTATGCGAACGATAGGATGGATTTACTTCAGTCAAGGTCACAAGTCAAACCGTATGTTTTAATAATGATATTGCGGATAAAGGGATAAGAAAAGAATTATGATTAAGCATTTAGGGTCAACTGGAAGATATTGTAATGAATATCGATGGCCTCATATTTTATTAGATTTCGGCATGGCTTCATCTTGACTTATTACTTTATATAAAACATTCATTTGAACAAATAAAAATACATGGTATTAGGAAAGAAGGCGAAATATGAAAATCTGAACCGATAATATACAATGAGAAATCTAAATCCTCGTTTAAGTCTGTAATGGGTGTTATAATACAACAAATTTTTGGCTCAATTACAATATTCGTATGGTATTGTATTATATAATGAAAAAGAATGACCAAACTAATATTATAAATGCGAAAGTTTGTCTGTCTGTATGTCTTTTCTTCACGCCTAAACTACTGAACCGATTTCTGTGAAATTTGGTACAGATATAGTTTAGGACTCGAGAAAGGACATATGATAGTTTTTATACCAAAAATCTGCAGGAAGTCACTGTTCGACGCGAACGGAGTCGCGGGCAAAAGTTAGTTGTACAATAAGCTCAATATCATTATCATAAAGATCGTGACACTAAGCAAATAAGCAACAAAATATAATAAAAAAAACAGTAAGAAAGAATAAGGTTTTTTAAAATTGAAAGTCTTCTAGTCTAGGTTTGGTTTTCAAAGTTTAGATATATTATTACTATTTACAGCCATCATACAACAAACGAATATAATAAAATAATATTGAACTAATTTGGACGTATAAATACCTGGCCTATATTTTGTAGCTAAATGAAAACCCATAACTATGTAGGGTAATTTCAAAGCCGACACGCAAGTAACCCGTAAAAAGTAGCAAATGTATAAATAAATATTTGACCGAAATGTATATTTATCTGTAATAATTTACCAACTAAAATATGGTTATGCGTGGTGAAAGACGCAGACTGTCTTCTTTTGATTTGAGTTTAATAATAAATTCGGTTTTTTATACTCTTTCCGAAATAGCAGACGTCATTAGTTTAACTACATGCAACCACGCAACGTATTCTATATTAAAAGTTAGATCTCTTGTAGCATACTAATAAAACTATACTGTATTTGTTAAGCGTACATTTAGCTTTCAATATTTGCCCTTGAGAATATTAGAGACAGTTGCAAATTTTTCTACATTGTCGAATTGTGTAGTTTCTTAGGTAAAAATAAAATAATTCGATATTTCAATATAATAACATATTGAAAACTATACTTTTAGTCATCAGTCTGGCGATATACTACATTTTAGAAAGAAAGAAAAGAAAGAAAGAAAACTGTTTTTATTCGGACTGAGACATGAAGGCCAAGAACAAACAACAAAAAAAAAAAAATACAATAATAAAAAAAAGCAAAATTAATCAAAACAATAACGTGAAAACAGCCTAACAAAGTACAATAATACAACCCTGGATTGGCGGACATGCCCAATCCGAATGGGTCGCCAACTCAGCAAAAGCTGGGCACAGAGCACCCAACACTGATTTTCAGTTGGCACACCTTGTTATATTCAATTTTTTTTTAACAAATTTTTAAGAAATAAGTAGGCTAGACGCAGAAATACTATGACGTCATAATTTGGAGTTTCATTGAAGTTTAATAGAAAAGTATCGTTTTTAGCATTTGTATTTAAGTAGTTGGAAACTACCGTATTATGTGTTGCTCAGTCAGTAGTACACTTTTTTAATTTTAGAATAATTCGATAAAAAAATCATTTCATAAGGTCTTGTTTAATGGCAAAGTTAAAACAAAACTCATTATAATGTAAATAGGAGTGAGGAATTCGGTTTCCCGAAATAGCCGACATCGTTAGTTTAACAACAAGGCTGAGGGTTCTTGACAGAATATGGTCCTTGTGGTAACAAATTATTCCATTGTATTTCTACACCGATGTGACGAGGGAACACTTTTTCAGACGATTACATTTTGTAGTCTTATTTCGAATTATGTATTAGAGAAGTCATCCATTAGAAAGACAATAATAAAAATAAATAAAATCGCAACATACCTACATAGAATCAAATAATAACTCATGGAAAAAATAACACAAGGAATCTATGCCTGGTGTTCCCCAAGGAACTATTTTAGGTCCCTTTTGTTTTTTGTACAATGTAACCTATATTGGATCAAATATCCTTTTTTCTTTCAATACGCAAACGAGACCTCGTTTTGATATTAGATATGCCATAGGTTACGGATTTTCTTCCATTACGAAGGATTTTTCCTAAGCCTGTAAGGCTTTCAGTTAAGTAGGTCTATTTGCGAGACGAGAATTGAAAGGCACAGATCATCAATCAATAACTGCAAATAGTGTTTGCGACGTAAATAACATAATGTGTATATAGACAATAGGAAAGCTTGGAAGAGGCTTATGTCTGTTGATAAGCAGATTTACAAAAGCTAAAAAAATACCAAATATTGGAAAGGAAACTTTATCTATTGTAAGAGTTGAGATATAATGTTAGTAATAAAAGTAATTACTTAACTGAGGTTATAATTACTAAGGATTTCATTCTTAAACTCGATTCGATAGTTGCTATAGAAATTAATAGTTTTTAACGAAACTATAACTTATTCGTAAGTCGCTTGCTGTCACTAAATTAATAGTCTTATCCACATTGATAACATAGGCCTCAAGCGAATACTTGTAGCGTAATAAGTCATAAGGGAATCCTAAAATTATTATAACGACTTGATTGGAAGACGGTGAAGATGAAATTAATAAGACTGATATAATTGAAATAAAATAATATAATGTTTTAGTTACCAATTCAAAACTATAATTCGAAAATAAAATTAAAATTAATTTATTAGTTGGCTAAAAATACTAAATTATTTCAATTTTTAAATCTTCTTAGTGAAAAGTACTTAATTGTCTTTTGTCGTTAACTGTAGGCGTTAAGGCAGTGACAAAAAGAAGTAATATCTGGTTCGTGCTTTGAGACAGATTTCTCTAATATTAAGTTTTGTTTTAGAAGTCACAACCCTTTCATAAGAACTAGCAAGTTGTGAGATAAAAGGATTTCGGCTTTTTTTCTTAGATGTACCAAAGAGTGGTCTTTATATATTTGTTAGTTCTTTTAGTAAATAATGAATTGCGAGCAAATTGGTTTTAAAGTATTAACATTTTATGTTAAATGAAACCTAAAGCTTGGCTGTGATTGAGTCATTACAACTAAGACAAGTAAATGCTAAAGAAAATCATTCGTTGATTGGTTTTGGATAAGATTTGATTTCTATTGATCTACGTAAAATAATTATTACCGTTTTATGAATTCAATGGAATGTTGTTTTGTATTGCATTTCCTTATTAATAATATTTTTCTTTTTGTTTTCAATAGCTCACCGACGGATGCGGACAGTCACCAACTACTTTCTCGTCAATCTTTCCTTCGCTGATCTGATGATGGCTTCCCTAAATTGTCTTTTCAACTTCATCTACATGTTACACAGGTGAGTCACTTGTTGAAGAAGTATCTTTTTTTTCAGCCTATATTTACACTTTACACAAGATTAATCTTTATGGAACGTTTTGATTAGAATATTTAGATGGAAATAATCAAAATTTTATGTATTATGACAAAGAAAAATCCTTGTATACTACATATCAGTTAAAAGAAAACCGGTTACTTTACTATTTATTTATATTTTTAAAGACTCGCTCATTTTGATTAATATTGTACGTTGATCACAATGGGAAACAAGATATCCACGGTCGAAGTCCTTTATCAGTTTTCTATAGACTGTCAAAGGCTTAAGTAATTGGATCAAAATGACTGTACTGGCTACGTCTACTTGTAATCCAATTCTGCTAGCAACAGATGGAGACTAAGATAATTAATCGACGTACATGCTTCATTGTCAGGTACAATTGGCTGGCTTGTTCTATTAAGACCTGTTGTAATGCAGTGATGTAGCATCGTCAATGCATTATGGTCTTTACGATAAAGTGAATTGTATTGTACTGTCTCGCCACTGATATTGATTCTCCAAGTAATTAGTTGCTAGGTATTGGTCCCGTTGTTGCTAGTCAACAGTTCTGTAGTTGGTGTAAGTTTTTGCGTTTTAGTAGGAATAGGAAAATACGAATTTAGAAAGATGTGTTTTTTTTTTTCAATTTGTGCAGAGTACGGAGAAGATAATTTAAAATATTGTCTGGTTTGTTTTAAAATCTTTGCATGCATGCATGCATAAATGCATGCAGTTAAAGTTACAGAGTGAAATATCACGGTGGGTATTCTATTACATCTATTTACCACACCAGATAACAACCGGGATGATGATACTTATTTGAAATTATAGATATAGAATATATAGAACAAAAATCCTCCCATTCAGCCCAATCTCTAAATCTTAAAAAGCCCTTATCCTTTAAATATTATCTCGCACTTGTAACGCCTCGACTACTGAGAGAGCGACGATTTTAAAAATTTTAGCACCACATGTTGAAGAATTCAAATGAAAGAATTTTAATGCCGTCACGTTCCTAACTTAAAAATACAAAAATAACTTTTTGGATTGATTAAATTCTATTCAGAGTACTCTGTTTTCTTTGGGTATTGGAAAAACCTTTTAACAGTCTAAGCTTTTCTTCTATCACTAAATCTTTTAAAATATTATCGCAATATATTTTCTCGAAATGAAAAAGAAAATTAGTTTTGGTACTTTAGAAATAAGGTCTCAAAAAATATTCGGACTAGTACCGTCCTAAAACTATTCTATAAATCTGTAGTGTTTAAATTATATTTTAATTAAGATTTTGTAAGAAAAGTTGAGTAATTATTTGACTTAAAATTAAGCGTTTTTTAATAAACTAATTTAATAAAATAAAGGTTTATGGTCTGTTTCGCAATATTTTACAAAGTGTTCATAAGTTTGATTGACAAAGAAGTCAAACGAAGATATTATTTCAAATAAGTTTTCTCAACTGAAAAATATCAAAAGAACTTCAAATGTGTGTACTTGTTAAAAAATATTACTCATGTTACGTTTTTATAAAAATTGTATATTTTATTTTCTGCTGATTAATAATCAGCGCCACCCATGGACATTAGAGACACAAAAAGGAATTCCAAGTGCGCTGTCGGCCTTTTAGAGCTCAAGGGTTTTGGTGATATAGGGTCTGAGAAGAAATGGGTGAAAGGATTAGGACTCAGAGAACCTCACAGCAGAAACTCACGGCAACATACGACGTTGTGGTTGTTTCACGCCAGTTTTCTATGAGGCTGAGGTATCAATCCGGTGGAGCCAGCCCATTGAGGCCAATGCATAGCTCTCCCAACTTTTGAGTAATTATTTTCCTAGAACTTTCTACGTTTACTTAAATATGTCGCCAATGTTTTAACAATGTTTTAACTAAATACTTTTTCTATAAAAATTTTGAAAAGATTCAATTATTTAATCAATTGTTAATACTTTTTCTAAATCGTAGAATTATTTTATCAATTTTGCCGTTTTTAAGTTACGTCTTGTATTTTCCCCTGTTTGGTATGAATGTAAGAATACAGAGATTGGTTTTATTGATACACTAAGTTGTATTTTTTTATGTGATAGGTCGGCAAAGAAGCAGGCGATTTACCTGATGGTAAGCAATCAGCGCCACCCATGGACACCCGCAACAACAGAGTTACGATTGCGATGCCGACCATTTAGGGATTAGGGATTTCGAGATTCAGCGATTGGGGGAGGGGAAGGATTGGACCTCCAGTAACCTCACTCACACGGCGAAACGCAACACTGTGGTTTTTTCATGCTAGTTTTCTGTGAGGCCGTGGTATCATTTCGGTCCAACCGACTCATTCGTGTCGAAACATAGCTCTTCCACACTTAAATTATTGTATTGTTATAAATGTAACCACATCTTGTTTAATGATTAGTCGTCTTTATTTTTATTTTCTTATTAGGTATTTCTAACCTTTATTATTATCATATTTGACGTCTAAAAAGTTATGATATTATGACTTCAATAGCTAGGTTTTTAATACTAGATTTAAAGATTTTCTCGAGGTGTACTTCAAAACTTTCACAAGTAGACTTCTAAAGATTAACATCTTTTCGACATCAAAATAAATAGAAGTTTACAATTTTCTTGGTACTTAATTAAAACCTCTTTTATTTAAGCTAAAGTAAAAACTTAGTGTTTACATCTAGGACATACTCGCAGAACTTTGTATAAGTAACAAGATTAAGTTTTATATAAAATCTAGGTACCTTTTCGAAACTTGGAGGTTTTTCTAGTAGCTGTCTTGTTTGTTTTAGATAATTAAGGTCCTACTTTTATCAGGTAATTGTTTGGGATGTCTTTACATTACGTGACCTTTTTGAAAATAGCCCACGTAAAGTTTTATAAAAAACACATTTAAACAATGAATTTGATAATGACTTACTCCCTTCAAATAAATAAAAAAAGCTTAATAATAATAATAATAACCCCACCGAAGTATCTCTACGTTGTCGTCGTGGTGGGGCTTGAGGGCTTTGACCCTTGGTCTTATATCGGTCTAGTTCGCTTGGATCGAGATAGGGCTGGGGCGAAGAGTCCGACTAAACGAGATACAACCCAAGCCAAGGTTGCATACGCCGAGGGCTGCATGGCTAAGGGGGTGCTTAGTCGCGAGTATGCCAACTCTGGAGACCAGGGGACCTCCAGTTTTAATTACCCTTGCCACAGTGAACGCAGGGCTCTGCTGTGGTCGACCTGTTTAGTCCCTAGCTACTCGTGGGAATAAAAATGATTACAAGGTCAAAAGTAAAAAATACAATGCAGGCAAAGGTGCCTCCAGCAGATGATGATTCATCAGCGGTGTCATTGTCATCCTCTCCGAGATCCACATTCTCATCAATTACACCATCATCGCTATCATTCACATCACGTTCATTAAGATCATCAATTTCATCAACGATTTCAGCAGACGTTGTGTCGGAGGCTACTCTAGCCAAAAATCCATCATCCGCTGCTGGCACAAAAAGTACGCGGAAAAAATGGAGCAAAGAAATGAACGAATTCATTTGGCGTACATATCTTATCATCACCAATTTAGAAACCGAGACAAATGCTTATTTGAGTATATTACACAGTAAATTCATCCAGCAGTTCCCTGATATGGTAGTCTCCAAACAGAGAGTGGGCGACCAAAGGAGAGCTATACTTAACAATCAATTACTACCAACTTCTACACTCGATGCGATTAGGTTAGAAGTAAGCATTTACCTCCAAAATGAAAATTACACGTCACAACCAACACAAACACTAATAACTTCACAAATCGACCCACTAATACACAGACAATCTAAAACGAGAATGAAATGGTCTAATGAACTCAATGAAACACTCATCAAATGCTACTTTATTGCTACAAAAATGGAGACAGATATGACAGTTTGGCGGAAAAACTTGAAGGACAAATTTACACAATACTTTCCTCACTTATCACACCTATCAGAACAACGTATATCAGATCAGAAAAGAGTAATAATGAATAATAAGATGATTTCCGAAACACGACTACAAATGATAAAACTGACAGCACAACAAGAGTTAGACCAAATAGGGTCAATAACTATTGGGAGGTTGAACAGTCCTAACTCATATCAGAATACTAGTAGCCCTTATCTTGAACAACAAACAAATATTAATATCGCCAATAAGGAACCCATGACTTCAGTATTACAGGATACAAATATTACACAAGAACTAAATGATAACCGTTCAGATCAACCACGAGCAAATACTGACACACACACACAAAACATACAAAGAAACTGTGAAATAGATGAATTGTTTGCACAAACCCTCCAATTCTACTCCGAGACACATCCTACCAGTAGATGTTACATTCCCAAGCAAAGGACGTCCAAAAAACTAGCAAAAATAGTAGATTATATTAACCAAGTGATATTACCAGATTATGTTATTAGAGATATAGAGTTTCCCGAATTACAAACAATTATATATTCTGCTGCTTGGACAGCTGCTAAGGTTAATGGCAGTAGAATCAATTTATCATCTACCCAAGATCGAAATAACCCTCGCATGGATTACAAACCCAAATGGCAAAAAAGATTAGAACGCAAAATAGATGTTATTCGTGCTAAACTTGGTAGATTAACTCATTACATACAAGGCCACAGAAGTCGCAAACTGGAAATAGAAGTTAACAAAATACTTCGTGATTACAGAATACATACTACACACGAAGCACCAAACACACACCTTGCACACTACTTAGACACACTTAAACAGAAACTTTCTGTATATAAAAGCCGGTTAAATAGATACATCAAATGCACACTTCGCAAAACACAAAACAATAAATTCAGGAACAATGAAAAGCAATTTTATCGGACACTAAAGAAATCAACAACGAACCACACAACATCAAGTAACACAGCAAACACATTATATCCTACAGGAGAAAACCTGAGAAGTTTTTGGGCAGGAATTTGGCAAAATCCTGTCACAACGCTGAAGCGGAGTGGATAAGAGCCGAAGAAAGTAAACATGTGAATATTACACAAATGCAGTTCGAACAGGTTGATATTGAAACATTTCACAATGTTATCAATAAAGCCCACAACTGGAAAGCCCCAGGCTCTGACCATATACATAACTTCTGGTACAAAAAATTTACAACTATCCATCCACATTTATTCAACCACATTAATAATTTTATCAAATACCCAACCAATATCCCTACCTACATAACTGAAGGCATCACCTACATGTTGCCAAAAGATCTTAACGATCCAACTAATCCCGCAAAATATAGACCCATAACTTGCCTACAAACAATTTACAAAATAATGACAGCATGCATTACCCACATCATATACAAGCACATTGACACACAGAAAATATTAACAGAAGAACAAAAAGGATGCAGAAAGTTCAGCCAAGGCTGTAAAGAACAACTCATAATTGACTCAATTATACTTAAAGATATACAGAAACATAAGAAAGATCTATATACAATGTACATAGACTACAAAAAAGCATATGACTCAGTACCTCACTCCTGGCTTCTTCATATTCTGAAAATTTACAAAATTCACCCCGACATCTCACACTTTTTAGAAGTCATTATTAGTAAATGGCAAACTCGACTTCATTTGAACACGCCTATACGAACAATAACGACCGAATTCATTAAGATTCAGAGAGGCATATTTCAGGGAGACTCACTCAGTCCCCTATGGTTCTGCTTAGCAATAAACCCACTTTCGAACATATTGAATTCTTTGCAATCCGGTTTCCAACTTCAATATAGGGAGACAATTACTGACACAGAAAGTAACCAACAACTTTGTAAAATAAACCATCTCCTTTATATGGACGACATCAAGTTATATGCAGCTTCCCAGGAGGATTTATATCAATTAGCGGACAATACAGAAATATTTTCAAGTGATATAGCAATGGAGTTTGGAATCGACAAATGCAAAATTAATTCGGTTAAAGCAGGCAAAACGTACACACACTCCTACCAACTTCAGACTGGAGATACTATTGAGTCATTAGATGAATGTGGGACTTACAAATATCTGGGGTACATCCAAGCCCAACAAATTTTGCTCAAAGAAATTAAAAGCCAAATAACTAAACAATTTAAACACAGATTAAAGATCATATGTAACACTGAATTGAACGCCCGAAATACCATAAAAGCAATCAACACATACGCTATCCCAACTCTTACATACTCCTTTGGTATTGTAAACTGGACCAAAACCGAACTACAAACCTTGCAGCGCAACATCAACACGACACTTACAAAATATAGGAGACATCACCCACGATCATGTACACAAAGACTTAACCTACCAAGAAACGACGGAGGAAGAGGTATCATAGATATTACTAACCTACACAACAAACAGATTACCACCTTAAGATCATATTTTTTCAATAAAAGCGAGACTTCAATTTTACGTCAGGCAATAGTTCAAAATGATAGAAAACTAACACCTTTAAATATGTCCGATCCGGAGACACAAATAAATGAAAAACAAATCGACCGACAAACTAAAATCGCAGAGTGGGCCCAAAAGTCATTGCACGGGAGACACTACCACGACCTTAACCAACCAAACGTCGATAAATCTGCATCGAACGAATGGCTAAGGCGGGGTGAATTGTTCCCGGAGACTGAAGGGTTCATGATGGCGATTCAAGATCAGGTAATAGAAACTCGCAACTACCAAAAACATATCATGCGTACCACCATACCGACTGACACTTGCAGGCACTGCGGTGCTGCCTCTGAAACTATACAGCATATCACAGGTGCCTGTAAAGCAATTGTTCAAACCGACTATAAGCACAGACATGATCAAGTAGCGAATATTATTCATCAAAGTTTAGCAATAAAATATAATTTAATTCCTTCACCACCAGTACCTTACTACAAATACCAACCTCAAGCTGTTCTTGAAAACTTATCCCATAAACTATATTACGACCGAGCTATTCTCACTGACAAAACCACACATTTCAATAGACCGGATATAACTCTCATTAATAAAACTACCAAAACTGCACAAATAATAGACATAGCCATACCAAATACACATAACTTACAAAATACTATAGCTGAAAAGCTTTCTAAATACACGGATCTCAAAATCGAAATTTCCAGGATGTGGCGACTCAACAACGTCACTATCGTCCCTATAGTAATTTCGACAACAGGCGTCATCCCAAAACAACTCCATCAATCAATAAAGACACTAGACCTACCTTCCTATACTTATCACAATCTCCAAAAAGCAGCTATCTTAAACACCTGCCGTATAGTCCGAAAATTCTTAAACGAAACAGATACAATGTCGTACACCAACAACCAAAATCGACACATCCACGTGGGCTAGCACTTGGCTTCGGCCCGTCCTAGTTCTCAAATCCGGCTATGTAGCCGAGCCAAGAAAAAGAAACAAGCGAGTTGGCTTCGGCTCCTCGTATGCCTTCCAAAGGTCCGGGACCCTGTGGTCCCGTGAAAGGAAAGAACAAACATAATAATAATAATAATATTTATTTATTGCCATTCCTAGTTTCAAACCAAAACGGAACCAATATTCATGACCATCATCGGGGTGCCGCGTCTACCAGCATGCTACGTCGGATGTGATTTTTTTTATGTGATAAGTCAGCAAATGAGCAGTCAGATTACTTGATGGTAAGCAATAAATGCCGCCCATAGACACCCGTAACTACAGAGGAGTTACGACTGCGCTGCCGATTGGGGATTTATCCTTTTAGTTTTAGAGATTGGGGGAGGGGAAGAAACTTCACTCACACGGCGAAACACAACGCTCTCACGCCTGATTTATGTGAGGCCGTTGTATCACTTCGGTCGAACCGACCCATTCGTGCCGAAGCATGGCTCCCCCATACTTTCGCACACTATTATATTTTATCTAAAAATATCATTCTAGATCTCTCTTCTTCTTTAACAATCCTCAAACATCAAACTACATCATCTGCATTTAAATGAGGGACTCGTTAGACAACTAGCATTAAAACAGAAAGACCCACAGATACAAAATGTACATAATTATTAAAGAGACAGATTCCATAAGACCTTTTTAGTGTAAACCTTTGTAATCCCCACGATAATCTTTGTTATCTCGTTGGATTATCGTGTACCTAATTAGTTAATTTTTTGTGGTACATAAACACTCAATCCTGTGAAATTAAGAGTGACCATATTTTTTCATTAATTCTACATTAATG